CATATGAGGGACAGTACTAAGCCTGGGGAAAGTTAAACACGTCATTTTTCACCAGTATTGTAACAGAGCTGCACATTGACTAACCAGCAGCAAAGGCTGGCAGATTTTCACCTCCCTTCTCTGGGTCCAAGGAAAGGCATGTTGCACAGCAGACCTCTGCTTGGTGAGGCGACATTTCTGCAGACTGGAAATGCTTTGCCAGACACATAGAAACAGTGTCACACAGGTATTTCTCTACACAGCCCTGAAAAACAAACCTCAGCATGCAGCTGATCCTGAGAGGAGCTTGAACACTTCATGACATGGCAATCAATGGGTGCCTGCCCAAGATGCCCAGGACAGGAGATGCAAGCAGGGTAGTACATGGATCTACCAACACAGCACTTCCTCCGTGTTTCAGTCTCTCTCTCCTCATTTGCCCATAGGCGATGGTATTGTCAATGAGAAGTGAAATTGATGGTGACACACAGCAGCTGTTAAAATTAAATAGCAATCATAGAATCATAGAATGGTTTGGACTGGAAAGGACCTGAAAGATCATCTAGTTCCAATGCCCCTGCCATGGGCAGGGACACTTTCCACTAGACCAGCTTGCTCGAAGTCCCATTCAGTCTGGCCTTGGTATATAAGCTTTAGGAATTGTCTTTCATTAAGGCAATAAAATGATGGGATAGAGTTATCTGTTGCATCTTCAGTTTTTGCTCCAGCAACATCTTAAGTGAAATCCTATTATGTCTTGTAAAAAAAAACCCACAGCATCTTGCATTAAACACAACAAATGGTGGTCAGAAAACTTCTATGTCTTACACCTGCACTGAGGAATTAAAAGGAGTCTACATGAAGGTCAGAGAAAGTCAGTCCCCATTACTTTCATGGGTGTGAGACTTGTGCAACTAAATGGCCGTGTTTGAGAGGAGGGATGAATGAGCCTGGAAGATGTAAGACACGAAATGTAGCCTGGGTTTTAAATAGTGATCTAATTATTTTTTCACGGATGACAGCAGGGTCATAAGTGACAAAAGTTTATTTATAAAGAGAGTTTTTTTCTGCTAGATGAGAATAGGAGATGGCCGATTTCCTGCATATTTTTAATCCTGCAAATATCACAAACATCAGCTCTGGTATTGCTGAGACTTCCCCTGGGTGACTCCTGTGAAGCTTTCCCAGTCTGTGATTGAATGGGAAGACGTGCTGAGATTTTGGCAAAAGCCATGTGTCTCCAGCATTTCAAGCAAACAAGTGTCAACAAAAAACAATTATAACACTGGAAAAAGAACCCTAAGGGGATAGAAATGTCTGCCCTGCTCTGTGAATTCGAGTCCCTATCTTGGAGATCGCAGATATCAAATGTGCTAGTTGGGCAGGTGGACTTCACTTTTCAGTCCAGAACAATAGCAGAAAAAAAAAAATATTTAAAGCTCATTGAGATACAGCGGCGGGGGGGGGGGGGGGGGGGGAGGAATAAAGGGGGGGGGGGGGGGAGGAATAAATAAATGAGGGGGAAAAAAAAAAAAAGAAGAAAAGGGTCAAACCTGAACCTTCAAGAAGTTATTCCCTGCCCTGACCTCCCCTCATACCTTTAAGCAGTGGGCACAGAGCTTGCAGGTTACCCCCACATTCCCATGTCTTCAGTGTCAGGTGCTGATTGCAGGTAACCCCCACATTCCCATGTCTTCAGTGTCAGGTGCTGAGTTTTCTGGTCCCAAGCTGTTAGCAGGGAGAGGTGGCAACTGTGACCCCTGCAAACTCCCTGAAGACCACACTCCACTCTCAACTGCAAAGTTTAAAAGGCTCTGGAGCTGCAAAGCCCAATTCGGATCCCATGGCCCTGCCAACAGATGGGAGGCAGACAGCACTGGGGATCAGGCTTTACAGTTTCTGAGGCATCATTGAAACTGTTTTCAGCTGCCAGTCCTCAAGAAGCCGTGGTCACACACAGGCTCTTCATCCTTCGGATGCCTTAGATTCCTTACAGCTGGGCAGGGGTAGTTTTGGCTTGGTTGTGTGGTATCCATGAGGAAAGGACCCTGGGCCATAGGCCTTGGGGGAATAGAGGCAATAACAATCCCAAGTAATAACCTAATGACATTCCGAGTGATTTTCAACATGAAAGCAACAGTCTGGTTTTCATTAAGTTATCACTTCATCATGTTCCCTGATTGCCTTCGTTCCTGCCTGAGCTGCCTGCAGTCCCGATTTTTTTTTTTTTTAAACAAGGGTGAAACCCCCCATATTTATAGATAAGAAAATAGGCTCTGCTCCACATTTTAGTATCGAAAGCAAGCTGAGGTGAAGAGCTTCTCTCGGAGCCCTCCCGGGCTGCTTTCCCGGGACACACCTACAATGAAAGGCGGTTTCCAATACTGAGCCTTGTTGAACCGAGGGGAGGACGTGTGACAATTTGACATCTCACGGCAAAGATCACCCCTTGCACCCCCTCCTCCTTCCGACGAGGACTGCAGAGAAGCACCGCCTCGCTGCCACCGCGCCGCACGGCAGCAGCCCCACGGGATGCAAGCGGGACAGAGTTCACATCCAGACAGACGGACGGTGATCATCCAAGGCATCACTTGCCCCGTTACGGACATAAAACCCAGTTTCTCCGAGGCAGTGGCTTCCTTCGGGGGGGGGGGGGGGGAGGGAGGGGGGGGGGGGGGGGTGAGAAGAAAGAGAGCAAAGGAAAAAAAGGGAAAAGGGGGAAAGGAAGTAATTGGAAACAAGCAGAAGAAAGTAAAAGATAAAAGGGAGGAAAGGGAAAAAAAGGAAGGAAAACGAAAAGTAAAAACGAAAAAAGGAAAAGAAAAAAGGAGAAAAGGAAAAAAAAAAAGAAAAAAGAAAAAAGAAAAAAGAGGAAAAGGGGAAAAGGGGAAAAGGAAAAGGAAAAGGAAAAGGGAGGAGTCTGCTGCGCAGTTCTCCTTCCCCAGGACTCCTGAGGTGCTCCGGCAGCGCCCGGCTGCTGCTCATCCTCACGCAACCGGGGCAGTGGCCGGCAGTTGTCTCCCGGCAGGTACCCCCCACCTCTGCTCCAGCCACAGGCCGCCCTCGCCAGGCTCTGCCCTGCCTCCTGCCGCCTCGGGGGCTGTTGCCTGGCCGAAACGGAGCCCCCAGGTCTTGGTGGGGAGCTGCCTGCCCGATCCCATGCCCAGGATGATGAAGAAGCTGGTGACAACCCCTCCCACGGAGCTGAGCCGCCGCGGCGGCCCTGCGGGGTTGCCGCAAACTCGACGGGGAGGACGGGCCCCGCCATCGTTTGGGGTGCGGAGGGGAGACTTGTTCTACCTTTTAAGACGGAAAAGTCCCAGCCTTTTAAGAAGGAGAATTACCAAGCCCTAAGAGTTGGAAAGGGGGACGAGCGATGCCAGCATTTTCCTGGTTTTCGCCCCAGCACCGCGGCCCCGGTGTGTCCCCCTCTCCTATCCCGCCGTCCCGCCTGGCCGGCCAGGGGCCTGTTCGTCTTCCCGGGGCAGGGCTGCCCGGGAAAGGCGCCGAGGCTTGATTAGCTGTGCTCGTTGTTGCCGTGTTTTATGCGGCTCCAACAATGCGCCGTATAGAGCCACCAGTTAAAAGGCAGAGGCAGGCTTCCTGCTGCCGCCTCGCCGCTCCCCGACCATGAAATAAATGCAAAGTTTGCACAGACGTGTGTGTGTGTCCCCTCCCCACCCCGCTGCTCCCCCACCTCAGGGGCTCAGCCCCAGCTCCCCTCGCAGTACCCCTCTCCATCCGCGGGAGGAGGAGAGGGTGTCCCTCAGCCTCCGCCGTCCGGGCTCCGCAGCTCCGCGCGCAGGTGCGGGCACCGAGGGTAGCCCGGGGCAAGCTCCGAGTGGCCGGGCACCGGGGGCCGGTCGGGCTGCAGCAGGACACACGCCGGGCGGCGGGCTGCGAACAGCGGCAGCGGGCCCGGCTGTTGCTGGGACAGATTTTCCCTAATTGACCTGTTACGGATCATCCCCGCAACCGTTGGGAAACACATTTCCACGCTTCACTTCTTAACGTTTTAAATACATATTTAACGGATGGTTGAGGCTTGCCGGGCCAGCTGGGAAACACACGGGTGTAAAAATAATACAACAAAGGCAAAGGGACCGGGGGGAGGAGGGATGCAGGGGGGATTTACCCCGGTGGGAGGAAGCCCCGACCCTGTTGCACGGAGAAGCAGGGGCGAGAAAGATCGCCGGGAGAGGCGCTGAGGGAGGAGTGAGGCATTTCCGAAGGTCATTTGTTTGTTAATGTCCTTTCTGCTTGCTTTCTCTCCCCTATCCTGCTACGGACTCGCTGGGGGGACACTTTGGAGGCAGGATTTGGTGGCCACTCGGGCTTCTTCTCCCGGTCGCTGCAGGGCCGGAGCCGGGGGTCCCCGCTGGGGCTGCCCTTCACCGCCCGGCGGCCTCCGCGGGGAAATCCGTTTGTGCGGAACGGAGTGGCCAAAATCGCTTTTCTCCTTCTCCCCCTTCGACTCCCTTTGCAGCGCTTAAGGGGAGGAAGGAATCGGGGGAGAGAATGACCAGGATGGGGGCAGAAGGAGGTACCCTCCAGGGGAAGCTCGCCGGCCGCCCGGTGAGCGTAGCAGGGCTGCGGCTGAGCACTCCCCGGCGGGACTGGACGGGGCACAGGGAAACACGGACGTGCTGGGGGGAGCCGGGCAGCTCTGCCGCTCGGAGGGTGCTGCGGCGGCTGGGCCAGGGGCTGTATGTCCCATGTCCGTCCCCGTTCCCGTCCCGCTCCCTCAACAGCTGTTCCCGGCGCTGTCATTGTTGCATTTTATTATGGATTTGACAAAAGTCCCCCTCCCCCGCCGCGGCCCCCCCCCCCCTCCCCAGGCTCCCCGCGCCGCCCGTCGCCCCCCCTCCCCGGCCGCCCGCCCGCCCCATCGAGCCGGACCGGCCCCGGTGACATCAGCCGTTCCCCACCGGTCGCCTCCCCCCCCTCCTCCGCCGCCGCCGATTGGCGCAGTCCCCCTCCCGCCCGGTGACATCGTTCCTCCCCGGCGCGGCTATAAAGCCGCCGCCGCCGCCGCCGCAAGGTGCGCGCTGCTGCCGTGCTCGCCCGTCACGGCGCGCCGCTCCCCACGGCCGCCCCGCGCACGGTAAGTGCCCCCCGCGCCCTCGCCCCCCCCGGCGCGGCACCCCCGAGCCGCCGGCCCGGCGGAGAGGCGCTGAGGGAGGGAGGGACGGGACGGGACCTGGAGGGAGGGGACGGGACGGGACGGGAGGAACCCCCCGAGAGCTGGAGGCGGGCGGGCAGCGAGACCTCACTCGCCGCGGGCGCTGGTCCCCAGCCCCGCGGAGCAGCGGAGGAGCGGGATCACCGACGTGTCGGGCGGGAGGCGGCGAAGCCCCGATAAGTTTCGGCGGGCTCTGACCCGGGGCCGCCTGCGGGCTCTCTCACCTTCCCGCAGGCAGCCCGGTGCGCGCCGCCGTCCCGCCCGGCGGGCCATGGACTCGGACGCCAGCCTGGTCTCCAGCCGCCCGTCCTCCCCGGAGCCCGATGACCTCTTCCTTACGGCCAGGAATAAAGGCAGCGGCGGGGGTTTCACGGGCGGCACCGTGTCCAGCTCCACGCAGAGCGACTCCCCGCCGGAGCTGAGCGCCGAGTTGCGCAGCGCCATGAGCGCTGCCGGGGTGGTGGTGGTGGACAAGCTGGGCTTCAAGTCCTCGTCTTCGTCCTCCTCCTCGTCCTCCTCGTCCTCCTCCAAGAAGGACAAGAAGCAGATGACGGAGCCGGAGCTGCAGCAGCTGCGGCTGAAGATCAACAGCCGGGAGCGCAAGCGGATGCACGACCTGAACATCGCCATGGACGGGCTGCGGGAGGTGATGCCCTATGCCCACGGCCCGTCGGTGCGCAAGCTCTCCAAGATCGCCACGCTCCTCCTGGCGCGCAACTACATCCTCATGCTCACCAACTCTCTGGAGGAGATGAAGCGCCTGGTCAGCGAGATTTACGGAGGGCACCACGCCGGCTTCCATCCCGCCGCCTGCCCCGGCGGCATGGGCGCCCACTCCGCCCCGCTGCCCGGCCACCCGGGCCACCCGGCCTCGCACCCCGTGCACCACCCCATCCTGCCTCCCGCCGCCGTCTCCAGCGCTTCCCTGCCGGGCTCCGGCCTCTCGGCCGTCAGCTCTATCCGGCCCCCCCACGGGCTCCTCAAGTCTCCCTCGGCCGCTGCTGCTGCCGCCCCGCTGGGCAGCGGCTTCCAGCACTGGGGGGGGATGCCCTGCCCCTGCAGCATGTGTCAGGTGTCGGCCCCCCCGCACCACCACGTCTCCGGCATGGGCACCGCCAGCCTCCCCAGATTAGCCACCGACACCAAATGAGCCCCTCGGCGGGGCCGCCCCGGGCCGCTCCAGCACTTCCAGGACCTACAAACACGGCGGCCCGTCCGTCCGTCAGCCCCCTCCGCTCCCGGGCCGCCGGGGGGCGGCGGGAGGGGATGGAGCCGGCCCGGGGTCTCCCCTGCTCCCAAAACGCGGGGAACGCCAGCCCGACACGAGCAAACGGCCGCGCATCTTCCCTATTTTGATTTTACCTTGTTGTGGGTTACTCCGCTGGGAGGGGAAAACAGTCCTAGGCTCGTCACAAGTGGAGGAACCAAAACTGCAGAGGGGTTTCTACGCGTTTGTTTGTTCGTTTGTTTGTTCGTTCCCCCCTTCCCGGTTTCGTTTCTGCAAGCGGAGCCTTTGGAGCCGTTCTCGGGTCGCAGCCTGGCCCGGAAAGCCCATCCCTTGCGCACCCGGCCGCCGTTCCGTGTCCGCCTGGCACCGGCGGGGAGCAGCAGGGATCCAGGAGGAAGTGCGGCCGAGGAAGTCGGTTTATCCCTCCTCTTCCCTCTGCTCCACCGGGTTTCTTTCTGGTTCGGGCTATGTAAATATACCGTTCAACGGCAGCGGCGCGAGTCCGCTCTGCTTGAGCTTGCCGTCCGTGAGCTTGTCCTGTGTGAGCCTCCTGGGTGAGGAGGGGTCGGTCTGCCGTGATTTCGTTCGTTTCGGTTCTCGGGGGGTGTTGGGTTTCGGGGATGGTTTATTGTTTGTTTTTTTTTTTAAGTGTATAACATGGTTTCGTTTTGGGGTTGTTTTGGGGTTGTTTTTCGTTCCTGCCACCTTTAACAAAGTTTGAATAATGCTCTTTATGTGTAGGAACTTTCACACTTGTCCGTGTTGCAATACTGAGAACTTGGGCTTGTTTCTGAAATAACAACTTTTCTTATCGCTGCCCCTTGCAGAGATTTTATCATCTGTTTATTTTTGTAAAAAAAAAAAAAAAAAAAAAAGGAAAAAAGAAAAAAGGTTGCTAAATAATATTTATTTCTTGTTTGGTTGCAAAAAAAAAAAAAAGATTCACTGTCGAGATTTTAAATAATAATAATAAAAAACAAAAAGGCATTTTAAATAAAGGGCTTTATGCTTTTCCTTGCTGCTCCGAGGCGCCGGCATCGCCGGGGGTGCGGGGCAGCGGCGGGGACCTGCCGTGGAGCGGGGAGGGGATAGGGACGTCTGAGGTGCATCCTTGCCTCTTCCCGGAGTTTTTTGTTACTTTGATTCGCCGGATAACAGAAACCGTTTGGGGGGTTTCTTCCCCTCACTTGCTCCTCGCACAGTAAGGGCGGCAGGGAAAGAAACTACCGTTCCTGGTTTCGGAGTGTGAACATTTTTCTGGCTACCGAATCCAGCGCTTGGCAAGAGCTAAATATTAATTAGGGGAAAGGAAACGTTCAACTTGGCGGTGGGGCGTTTGCCCGCTGCAATGGCTTCTGCGCACTTGACCTTCAACCAAAATCCAACCAAACAAAAAACCACGAAAGGAAAATTATTTGAGGGCAGTCTTCTATTTTCAATTGTTATCATTATTTTTCCTCCCGAAGCGGATACCATCTCTCTTCCGTGTGTACTTGAGTAGTTCTGTACTCAGGTGTTATTTGGGCAGAAAATACCTCTCCCTCTCTCAAACCCCAAGGAGAGGGCTTTCTTCCCTCACTCAGAGTGCGGGGCTTACCCTTTGCCTGCAGAGACAAGGAGACCAACCCAAGTGAATCCCGGTTTTTGAGGACAAGCAGTTCGGCAGCTCCTCGGGGGGCCGGTGCAGGCAGTGAGGCTCCCCGATTGTGGGTCCCACCTTCCCGCCGCTGCCCCCCCAGGGAGGGGGCATGGACAACACGCATCCCGCGTCCTTGCCCAAGCAAACCCTAACACCTCCCTCTCTCTCTCGATAAATGGCTAGACAGCGATTTAAAATAACTAATCGACTGCATACGCATAAATACAACATAGCGCGAGCACACACACACACACACACGTATATATGATAACAAGCCAGGGAGGAGTTTTGGGCGCACAGACACCCGCGGGGAAAGGAGAGTGAGCCCCGTCCCATAGGACTTTTTATTTTACTGTGTAAAGAGAAGCGGTTCCCTGGCGGGCGGGGCCCCCCTCGGGTGTGAGGCGGTCCTGGTCCCATTCTGACAGCCCCGGCGGGCTCCTGCCTCTCTCCTTGCTTCAGCGGCTCGCACCGCGCCAACCATTTCAGGGAAGGGAAACGGGGCTCGTAAAGGAGTGCCCCCCCATCCCAGCATCCCCTCAGTGATGATAAATAGTCCTCCCACTCCCCTTCTCCAGAGAGTCCCAGCCCAGTCTCCCTCTGCCCCTGGAGAGAAGGAGCTCCCTTTCCAAGCGCTCTCCGTAGGGATTTTGACAAACAAAACCCTTTTAAAGGTGGGAGGGAAGAAGCCCCGGGGACTAACACCGACCATCCCGCGGATCACCTGAGTGCCTTTCTCATCAGGAGAAATGGCCCTGACGCCGGTAGCCAGGAGGGCGCCGGCTCTGCCCCTCGCTTTAAGGCCACCTTAGGGTGCTAACCCTGCGTCAATCTGTGGCTCTGAAGGTGATTCTGGCCGTACAAGACCCTCCGCTTCTGCCTTCTCCGCTGATGGAAGGGGATAAAGTGGTGCAAACCCGGGGCTGACAGCCAGGTGTCTGACAGTGGTTTGAGACAGTTTCCCCGACGGCCACCTCTCTGCCAGGCTCCTCTGTACGCCAAAGGCCTGGCCGGGCAGCAGAAAGGACAGAGGACGCCCCAGTCCCCGTCGGAGCGCGGAGGCAAAGGCTGCTCTTCCGCCGAGCCTGGGGGAGCTGAGCCCCGCAGCGTCGCGGCGATGACAGAGGCCTCCCGCCAAGCTAGTCCCGCTTGAGGAATAGCCCCCTTCTCCCCTGGTTTTGCTCCTGGAGTCCTGCTACCGGTATCCTACACAGCAGCCCTACCGTCGTGTGTCACATCTCCCCCACCTTTCCCATGTGTAGGGAGGCAGCAATAAGCAGAGCAGCTTTCCCAATTAGCGGAACTCCGGCGAGGGAGTGCTGCTGCGGAGGAAGGGCAGGAGCAGGTGAGAATAAGAGGGAGCATCATTAGGAGCTACTCTTTGTCCCTATTAAAGGCAATAATTAGCACCCTGACAGATGCAAAAGTCGGCAGTGGCCAGAAGCTGGTAAATCCTGCTCTGCTGCCTCCCTGACCGCGATCCCTTACCCCCCGAGGGCCGTTCGTTTCCCGTTCCTAACAGGTGGCTCCAGGGAGTCGCGATGGGCAGCAGCTCCCGAGGTGGGATGGGAGTGGTGTCGTGGAAATCCGGCTCTTCTGCTGGGGCATTTTGGCTCCGCCGGTGGCAAAGACAGCTAGGGCAGCTTGCCCCCTCCGCAGTCCCCTGCTACTCCGCTTGTGGCCTCGGTGGAGGGAGCCCCCGGGTTGGTGTCAGCCCCTCGGCCGGGCCGGGCAGCCAGCTGTGATCCCCCGGCCCCCTTCCTACTGGGCTACCTGCAAATGAAATTAGCCGCCCCACCGCCTGCCTTGTTCCCCATATGCTCCCCTGCACGCAGGAGTGCCCCACAGGGCTCCCCTGGTTGCATCGCCTGCAGCAGAAGCCACGGCTCCGGACAGATAGAGTTACGGTGACGCGAGGTAGCCCATATGCTCAGGGCACACCAGTGGTGTTGCCGCGGGTCACCTGAGCCTCGGGCCGGGCAGCATCACTCCCGCATGCAGCCCAGCTTACTCCTGCACCCCCACCCCCGAGCTGGAGTGGCCCCCTCGTTCTCAAGTGCCTGCCCGTTAATCCCCGTTCCACCGAATTTAACTCTGTCTCCCTTGCAAACCGGACAGACCCCTCCCCTCACACCCCTGCTGCTTTTTTAGAAGAAGTAGCCCCCCCCCCCCCCCATAAAGCGGCCCAGACGACTCCCTCCTATGGCCCCACTCACACCCCCACCCCAGCCCTTCCCCCTTCCCTAGCCTCCTCCCCACTTTCTCCTTCTCTTTCCCTCCTTCCCCACTTTCCCTTTCTCCCTTCCCTTTCCTGCCTTACCAACCTTCCCAAGTGCAGCACAGAAAGCAGGTAGAGGGTAGCCAGAGGTTGGTTACACATTTTTAGCAGAAACCTCAGTGCTTCAGGGAAGCCCAGGGGAAGGGAAAGGTTGGCCATATCAGGGTGCCCAGGCAGCTCCTCCACTCTCACCCCTATGATGTTCTCATCTCATTTCAACAGGGGATTTCTTCAGCCTCTGCCTAGCAAATTTTAAGTCAAGTAGCCCAAAATCTTCTGCAAAACCCTGGCCAAGGCATGCTGCTCCCTCCAGGGCAATGGCTCCTGTTCTGCAGGGAGGTACCAGGGCACCAGCTGTGCCTGCCACTGATGTAGTTCCATGGGATGGGATCTGTCAGAGCCCTCTGCTTGAGGCTTGCAGGCCCCCTTCCCTTTCATTTGAAAGAATGTTTGGAGTAAGTATTCAAATCCCACTCAACAGTTTTCCAAATATGAGTCCTTCAAATAAAAATGTGGTACTTTTTTATCTACAAACCTCTCTGCGGTAATACAAGCTAGGGCCTTCTCAGAGCAGGAGCTGCTTGTGGGGTGAGGTACACAATCACAGGTTACATGCATCCAGTTTTAAGGTGGAGGGGAAAAAATCCTTTCTTTTTCTACTTGAGAACCTTACCATACTGATATTCTGGGGCCAAACTCCCCTTGGACATCACTGCAACCTCCCCATGCCAACTCAGGGTGCTGGATGTGTCCTGTGATAACTGGGGTATCACTCCAGATACAAAAACTAGAGCTGTGGCACAGCCCCAGGATGCTATTTTCACAGTTGGAAAGGTGAAAGACTGAAGCCCCATGTATCCTGGCAGCCTGCAAACTGTCTGAGCCATGCTCCAGAGGATACCCCACAGGCCACCGGAGTGACAGGAGCCAAACAGCCTCTGATGAAACACCAAGCCAGCAGCTCTCACTTGGTGTTGCAAGATGGTGCTTGCAGCATAGCTCTCATTTCCCTATGTCACGGTGGTGTTTCCATCTCTGTGTTAGATGGGGACCTCCATGCCTGTGACTCGATGTTACCCAGATCATTTCTGTGTGCTCAGGTGGTTTTGAATGTGCAGCTGAGGGCCAGATTTTCAGAAGAGTTACCAGCATCTTCGCAAATGCTCAGCACCCATACCCAACCTTGTGGTTCTGAAACCCTCACTGCCCACATAAGGGTTGAGATGGGAAGGGAGGTTTTCCAAAAAACCCTGGCTTCAGCCATGAGAGCTGGCCCTTTCCAGCCTTCCAGCCCAGATGGGTGCACATTAGAAATAAGCCTTGGGCACATTGCAACCTGCCAGCCCTCTGTGGATTACAACGTCAGCAAAACTGAATTTCCCACCACAGGCATTTGTATTTAATACATTCAAATATTTCTACTAAAAATTGTTAAAGGACACAGTAATTATAATGATGGCAACAGGGCCATGAGACCGTACCAGCTTCACCTCTGTGAAAGGGCGTTGGAGTAGTCGCTGGTTCAGCCTTTGAAAGTTCAAACAGGCTCTCATCTGACTGCCCTCACTCCTTGGATGGTGTTTCTGAAGGCAAGAGAGGTCTGGCATTGCTTTCAGTGGCCACACGGCTGGACCCAACAGTTCTGCAGTCCACCCGCTTGAGAATAAGAAAGCAAGAGGTGAATGCGCAGCCTGTTCACCACACACACGCCTGAATAGCTCCGGGGGTGCTCAAACCTCTCAGGAGTTACAGACAGCCCAGGGTCGAGATCCTCCAAAAGCACAGCACTTACCCCAGGGCTTTTACCCTAAAAGATGGATGTAAATGCAAAAGAGTGTTTCCCTTTTTCATTCATCCCCATTCTTAGGATTAGCTTTAGAAGTTTTGTTCTGCCATTTATCTTCACTTGTTGGAGATGTCTTGACAAACTCCTGAGAATTAATTTCCCATCAGCTTTTTGCTTCCTCTTCTTGAACTGGCAGGTCAGATCTCACCACATGCATTAGAAGAGGTTATCTGGATGGGCCACCCTGCTCCATTGTCCCTTCTTAAGCCTGTCCCTGTCCCAGCAGGAAACCAGTGTCATGCACATG